TTCGAGGAGTAGCAAAAATGAAGCATGAGTAGGTGTCTATTAGAGACATGGACCCACCGAAATCTGCCAAATTCAGGCACATGAGTGACATCCATTTGCCAGATTTGATTGGGTTTAAGTCAGGGGTGGGCAAACTTTTTGACTCGAGGGCCACAATGGGTTCTTAAACTGGACCGGAGGGCCGGAACAAAACCATGGATGGAGTGTTTGTGTGAACTAATATAAATTCAAAGTAAACATCATTACATAAAAGGGTACGGTCTTTTTTTTTTTTTTTTTAGTTTTATTCATTTCAAACGGGCCGGATCCGGCCCGCGGGCCGTAGTTTGCCCACGGCTGGTTTAAGTCCTCGGGGATTTACCCCTAATGCTGGCACAGGGAGGTGGACAGCCCACTGCGGGCGTTGCTTAACAATTTGGCAGGGAGCCTCCCACAAAACACACTAAGGGCCAACTAGGTAAACACAAAGGAAGGCAGCACAGTGGGATGGGTGCCACCTGCCACAGGTTGTACGCAAGTTCCCAGGCACACATGGAAGTCAGAGGCCCCGGGCCCTCCTGCTCCTACCATTGGGAATAAACCAGAACGCTGTCTGATTTCCGTCCGCCTAGGTTTGCTGTGAACTTTCAGACGGGCTTCAGTGACAATGACATTGCCTTCCACTTCAACCCTCGGTTTGAAGAGGGCGGGTATGTGGTCTGTAACACCAAGCAGAAAGGACGCTGGGGGCCGGAGGAGAGGAAGATGAATATGCCCTTCCAGATGGGAATTCCTTTTGAGATCCGCTTCCTGGTGCAGAGCTCTGGATTCCAGGTGAGCAGGATTCTCCTCCGTCCCTCCCGCTGTTTGACACCTGCCCTATCAGGCCTGGAGAAAAGCTTTTATTTATTTTCATTGTTTTGGTTAATCCTCACTTGAGGATATTTTTCCATTGATTTTTTAGAGAGACTGGAGGGAGGGGGAGAGACACAGAGAGAGAAACATCCATGTGAGAGAGACACATCAATTGGTTGGCTCCCACATGCACCCAGAGCAGGGCCGGAGGTTGAGCCTGAAACCAAGGTACGTGCCCTTGACCGGAATTGAACCTGGGACCCTTCAGTCGCAGAGCTGACGCTCTACCCACTGAGCCAAACTGACGAGAGAGAGAAAA